ACACAAAGGATTGTAAGAAAATATTACAAACAACTATATTGGATAATCTGGACAAAATGGGCAAATTCCTAGAAATACACAATCTTCTGAAACTGAATCAGGAAGAATCAGAACATCTGAACAGACCAATTACAACTAATGAAATTGAAGCAGTAATAAAAATAAAAAATAAATAAATAAACCTCACAACAAGCAAAAGTCCTAGTCCAGATGGCTTTACAGGAGAATTTTACCAAACACTCAAAGAAGAGCTGACACCTATCCTTCTCAAACTATTCCAAAAAATAGAATAGGATGGAAGTCTCACAAACTCATTTTACAAGGTCAGCATTACCATAATTCCAAAGCCAGATAAAAAAAAAACACTACAAAAAAAAAGTATAGGTCAATATCCCTGATAACCATATGTGCAAAAATCCTCAACAAAATATTAGCAAACCAAATCCAACAATACATTAAAAAGATCACACACCATGATCAAGTGGGATTTATTCCTGGAATGCAAGGTTGGTACAATATCCACATATAAATTAATGTAATACATCAAATAAACAAAATGAAAAATAAAAATTATATGATTATATCAATAGAAGCAGGAACAGCATTTGACAAAATCCAGCACCCATGTATGATAAGAAGTCAGCAAATTGGGAATAGTGGGAACATATCTCAACATAATAAAGGTCATACATGACAAACCCACAGCTGACATACTAAATGGGAAGAAACTAAAAGTATTTCCCTTAAAATTAGGAACAAGACAGAGATATCCACTCTTACCATTCTTATCCAGTACACTACTGGAAGTCCTGGCCACAGTAATCAGACAAGAAAAACTACAAGGCATTCAATCTGAAAAGGAAGAAGTAAAACCCACTATTTGCAGATGACATGATACTATAGATAGAGAATCTTAAAGATTCCACCAAAAAATTACTAGAACTGATAAATAAATTTAGTAATGTGGCAGGGTACAAAACAAATACCAGAAATTGGTTGCATTTTTATACACCAATAACAAACTATCAGAAATGAAAACTAAGAAAACAATTCCATTTACTATTGCATCCAAAAAAAAAACAAAAAAAAAACCCAGCATACCTAGGAATAAATTTAGTCAATGAAGTAAAAGACCTGTACTCAAAAAATTGTAAGACACTAAAGAAAGAAATTTTAAAAGACACAAATAAATGGAAACATATACTGTGCTCATGGTTAGGAAGAATTAGCATTGTTAAAGTATCCATACTGCCCAAAGCAATCTATAGATTCAATGCAATTCCTATCAAAACACAAATGTCATGTTTCATGGAGCTAGAACAAATGATCCAAAAATGTATATGGAACCACAAAAGACGCTGAATAGCCATTCAATCTTTTGAAGAAAAACAAAGTTGGAGATATGATGCTACATAACATCAAACAATACTACAAGGCTATAGTATCTAAACAGCATAGTATTGGCATTAAAATGGACACATAGATCAATGGAACAGAATAGAAAACCCAGAAATAAGTCCATGTCTATATGGTTGAGTAATATTTGACAGAGGAGGCAAGAACATATGATGGGGTAAAGACAATCTATCTATTCAATAAATGGAGTTGGAAGAATTGGACAGATCCATGCAAAAAATAAATAAACTAAACCACCTTCTTACATCATATGCAAGAATAAACTGAAAATGGATTAAAAACTTAAATGTAAGACTTAACCATAAAACTCCTAGAAGAAAACAAAATAAACTCTCTGACATTTCTCTTAGTAGTATTTTTTCTGATATATCTCCTCAGGCAATGAAAACAAACAAAAAATGGAATTAAATCAAACTAAAATGTTTACGCACAGCAAACAAAACCATCAACAAAACAAAAAGACAATCTATTACATGGAAGGAAATATTTACCAATGACACATCCGATAAGGGGTTAATATCCAAAATTTACAAAATCTCTGACAACTAAACATCAAAAAACAAACAATTCAATTAAAAAGTGGGCAGAAGACCTGAATAGATGCTCTACAAAGAAGACATACAGATGGCCAAAGGACATATGAAAAGTTCTTATCATCACTAATCATCAGAGAAATGCAAACAAAAACCATAATGAGCTATAACCTCACACCTATCAGAATGGCTATCATTAATAAATCAACAAACAACAAGTGCTGGCAAGGACATGGGGAATAGGGAACCCTGTGCACTGTGGGAATGCAGATTGGTACAGCTACAACAGAAACAGTATGGAGTTTCTACAAAAAAATTAAAAAATGCAAGTGCCTTATGACTCAGTGATTCTACTTCTGGGTATACATATCCAAAAAAAACCCAAAACACTCATTTGAAGAATATATGTTCACAGCAGCATTATTTACAATAGCCAAGATATGGAAACAACCCATAATACACGATAAAAAGGTAGTAGTACATATATACAATGGAATAAAAAAAAAAGAATGAAATCTTACTGTTTGCGACAACACTGATGGACCTAGAGGGTATTACGCTAAGTGGAATAAGTTAGGCAAAGACAAATACTTTATGGTTTCACTTATATGTGGAATCTAAAGAACAAAATAATTGAACAAACAAAACAAAAACAGACTCATAGATACAAAAAGCGGACGGGTGGTTGCCAAAGGGGAGGGGTGTTTGGGGACTGGGTGAAAGAGGTGAAGGGATTGAGAAGTACAGATTGGCAGATACAGAATAGTCATGGGACGGTAAACACAGCATAGGGAATATCGTCAATAATATTGTAATAACTATGTGTGGTGCCAGGTGGGTACTAGGACTATCAGGGGACCACTTTGTAAGGTGTATGACTGTCTAACCACTGTGCTGTATATCTGAAACCAATACAAAGTAATATTGAATTTAAACTGTAATTGAAAAATAAAAAATTTAAAAAGAAAAGACTTAAGAATGCCTCTATGCAATGGGGAAGAGAAGATAGTGACTGTGATTGAGTGACAATTAATGCAGTAAATTCTCTACAGACAGTGAGCCAACATAGTACTAATGTACCTCTTTAGAAACAAAATCCTTGCCCAGCCGGTGTGGCTCAGTGGTTGAGCATCGACCCATGCACCAAGAGGTGGCCGGTTCAATTCCCAGTCAGGACACATGCCCAGGTTGTGGGCCCGATCCCCAGTGGGGGGCATGCAGGAGGCGGCCAATCAAGGTTCTCTCTCATCAATGTTTCTATCTCTCTCTCCCTCTCTCTCTAAAATCAATAAAGAAAAAAAAATTAGAAACAAAATCCTTTAACTATATATGAAAACACAGTCGCAGAATCCACGTGTAGCTGTAATGACTTGCTTTTCCGGAGAAGCAATACTTGAAGCTAAAAGGTTAGAGTTTTAGGCAAAAGGCTATTCTATCCACAAGCCAACAGGAATGATGGAGATTCTCAGAGAAGAAAGATTTGGTAACAGAACAGTTAAATACAAAGTGTAACCAGATGATTTATCCCTTTTAATGGGATATCTGTTTTTCATCACAAAGAGAAAATGTTATGTCCTGGGCTTAGTGATTTGTTGACCTTGGGTATTTTTCTTACAAAGTCATCCTCACAGGGGTAAGGCACATATTTCAGCAAATTAATTTCAATCTGATTGTCTTCTAAGAAATGAAGGTTCCGAGGAGGAGCAGGTTGATTTACTATTCTCTGTGTCTTCCAGAGCGAGACAGTCGAAAATGGGCGTCACGCGTGGGCCGTACGGAGGAAGCACCTTTGGAAAATGCTATTCGTCATTTGTGCAGAAACGGGAAAGGGTCTGAATAAGACGTTTTTTCAAGAACCCAGCCAGCTCTTCTTGGGTTCTGTGACCAGAAGGGGGACAACTTAGGACCCTGTAGGTCCTAGGCAGTACAGAATGCATTATCAGATGTAACATTCTGGGTGACAGGCGGGGTGGGCTGAGGCAGGGCTCGTGCTGCCCCTGGGATGTGTGGTCAGATTTACGGGGAGCACTTGCTCTCAGCGGTGTGAGGAATGACGGCAGGGGAGACGGCCAGCAGCACACAGGCCACCGCTCAGGCTGGGTGCGACCCAGACCTCGGCATCATCCACAGCGTCTCCACACTCGGTTGTCCCGACATTTCTATGAACTTTCTATCCTCCCGGTTATACCCAGGTCTGGGAAGAGAGTTGTCTTCTATCATTGACAAATATTGACATTCTTCTATAAAAACAAGCCTTTTCCTCCGTGAAACCACCAACACTGCATTATTTACATAAAAGGGCAAAAACGGAATGCCCCTCCACCTCCTGGAGAGGAGAGTGGGTAGGGCTGGTGGGCACCCAGAGGTGACGGCCCTATGTCTAGGCAGGAAGGCTTTCTGCCTCTCTCCAGGATCTTGCTCATGCTTCCAACTATTGGATAACGCCCTGTCTTTCCATGAGCTCCTTGGGTAGATTTCATCCTCACATACTATCACCTAAAAAGCCTTAGGGCTCTGGGTCATGCACTCCTCCCCCAGCCCAGGAGTTCTGGGCCATGTGGGACAAAGGCTCTTCCTCCTCAGGCCTGAGACCAGAAGCATCTCCTGACTCTAACTCCCCTCACAGCTCCGTGTGAATGTTGACTGCCTGTGTTCTTCCTCTGAAAGAAGCTTCCTGGTCTCCCCGCCCTCCTAGTGTTAAAACTAAAGCCAACAGCTTTGCTATCCTTGTGCTGGTCCACGGCTGAGGACACCTGTATCTCCACTGCAGCCATTCGATAGGCCGTCACTGAGTGCATGTCTATACGCAGTTTGAAGACCCAAGGAGAAGGAGGCTTGTAGTATAACCCTGAGTTTGGGTCCTGAACCAGAACAAGAGTTTTCTAACTTGTTCCTTTACATGCAGCAGAGCCTACTCACAGCTCGACATCTCCTTCTCAAGGGATCTGGCTCATTCTGAGCCAGAGAACTTGGTGGTGGCGGAGGGTGGGGCAGCGTCCTCCACGGCAGCTGAACTCAAAGGGGAAAGAGGGAGGGTGGGATGGTCCTTACTGTTACGCAAAGCAGCATGGGTCCTCGGATGATCCACCAGATTTTCTTATTCACATTGGTTCCCCAGCACCTACAGCGAAGAGCAGACAGTAGAAGACTTTCAGCTGAGATAAGGTTGGCCGGGCCGGTGTGGCTCAGTGGACTGAGCGTCACTCCATGGGCTGAGAGGTCCCTGTTCAATTCCTGGTCACGGCACGTGCCCAGGTTTCAAGCTCGATCCCCAGTAAGGGGTGTGCAGGAGGCAGCTGATCAATGTTTGTCTCTCACATTGGTGTTTCTATCTCTCTCTCCCTTCCTCTTTCTCTAAAATAATAATAATAATAATAATAATAATAATAATAACACATTTAAATTGAGATAAGGTTGAATGCAAAAGCCTCATGCCCTCTGGAAAAAGGATGTTCACACTCAAGATTTACCTTCAAATCGTCATTCTCCTGAGGGTGGAAGAGGGGAAGAAGGACCCACATTCCTTCCTGCTAGTACAGTAGTGTTGACTTTTCTAACCATTAACGTGCTCCTCGGTGCTAAAGCTTGTGTCTATTCTCCTCCGCTCATGTCCACGTTCACAGACATCCAAATTCTTAGTTAGGTAGGGGCCTATTTTGTGGTGACTATTTGGAGAAGAAAGTGGGATCCTGTGATATGCATCACGCAGCAACAGGCTTAACAATGTGCTGTTGAGATTCAGTCTTTAGAAGCCAGAAGAGGTAGAACTAACACGTTTTCTCAGTCATCTCATAACATTGCACATGTCGGTGTGCCACAGTTCACTCGTTGATTCCCGTACTGAGAGATGTTCAGGGTTTTTGTTTGTCTGCTTGCTCAGGGTTTTTTGTTTTATTTTTTAAATTGAGATATAACTGACATATTAACATTATATTAGTTCAGGCGTACAGCATGATGATTTAGTATATAAATATGTTGTGAAATGATCACCACAATAAGTCTAGTTAACATCCATCACCTCATATAGTGACAATTGTTTTTCTTATAATGAAAACTTTTAAGACTCCCTCTCTTAGCAACTTTCAAATATACAATACAGTAATGTCCACTCTGATCACCATGCTGTATATTGCACCCCAGGACTTCTTTATTTATAACTGAAATTGTGAGCCTTTGGACCTCTTTCACCCATTTCATTTTGCTGTTTCCTCCCACTTTGAACTATGATGCAATAACCATTCCTGTACCTGTATCCTTATATACTCAGGGTCACTGATTAGGTATGCAGCAAATTTTTGTGCTAGGTGGTGCCAATCTTGAGCTAATTTTCAGGCATAACATAAAAAATTAGTAAACTAGCCTAGCGGGCGTGGCTCAGTGGTTGAGTGTTGATCCACACAACAAGAGGTCGCCAGTTTGATTTCTGGTCAGGGCACATGCCCAGGTTGTGGGCCTGATCCCCAGTGGGGGGCATGCAGGAGGCGGCCAATCGATGTTCTGGTTCATGGATGTTTCTATCTCTCTCTCTCTCTCTCCCTTCCTCTCTCTCTAAAATCAATTTAAAAATGTATTTAATTAGTAAACTACTATAAGAAAAATCTTTGATTATTTTTATCTACATTCCTAGATATATATTTTTTTATTTTTATTGAATTTATTGGGGTGACACTGATGAACAAAATTATACGGTTTCAGGTGCACAATTCCACAACAGATCATTTGCACACTGTACTGTGTGTCCATTCCCCAAGTCAAATCTCCTTCCATCACCATTTATCCCCCCTATACCGTCCTTCCCCTCCCCCACCCCGTCCCCCTCCCCTCCCCCTCAGCAATCACCACACTGTTGTTCATATCCATGAGTTTTTTCCCTTTATTTTTATTTTTGCTCAATCCCTCCCTCACCACCCCACCCAGCCCCCCACTAGGTATATTTCAGATGGCCAAAATGAAAGGGGGTGGGTAGTATGTTTAGGAAGATGATATAGACCCTTGTGTTGGGGCATCTTTGGGAATTACGAGCTCCTGGGAATGAGGAAGCCGGTGAGTCACCTACCCTGTGTCCTCCAGCCGGGCACGGGCAATACTCCAGGGCACGACAAATAGCAGTGGGAAGGCTGGGGAGAGAGCAGGGAAATGCAGTTAGTCCCCGGTTGGCCAGACCCGCCTGGCCCCTGCGCTAGCTGACGAGCCCAGGTCATCACAGCACCGTGAGCTGCGAGGGCTGTAGACCCAGAGTGGCGCCGAGCCCACCTACTATTTCACTGTCTGGCGAACCAGCAGGCCGAGCGAGAGGGGAACAGACTTGCCACATGTCACAAAGCAGCTTTGAGTCGATCCCGAGACCTTAAGCAAAAACTTCTGAATTACAGGCCGAGGTTATTTCCCCTGAATCCTACAGCCTCAAATTCCCCAGAGCTTCTGACAGCAGGGGCTCCAGACCACATCGTGAAGACTTCACTGGTGTTATGGTCTGTGTCCCCCCCATATTAGTATGTTGAAGCCCTGACCCCAACATGATGACTTTTGGAGATGAGACCTTTGGAGGTAACTGAATTTGGAAGAGGTTGAGGGGCGGGGGTATCATCATGATGGGATTAATGCTCTTCTGCAAAGAGACCAGAGACAGAGCCAGAAGACAGCTGTCTGCAAGCCGTGAAGAGGGCACTCTCCACAACGCAATCCTGCTGGCACCTCGATTCCCAGCTCCCAGCCTCCACAACTGTGAGAAGTAAATGTCTGTTGTATAAACCACACAACCTGTGGTGTTTTGTTGTGGCATCCTGAGAAGACCAATACAGTTGGGGACAGGGTAGAGGAAATGTCATCTGATTCTACCAAAAACCTTCTCAATTTCTGGATGTATGCACTGGGTCTGTGGCCCTTGTGTATGCATGTGCATTGCTTGCTTATGCATGTGCACACACACACACACACACACACACACCTTTTCTCAGAGACTCTTGTCATTGAGAAATTATCTGTCCCATCCACCTCCCTCCATTTGGATCTTTAACTCTGACCAAAGGCTGTATTGGGCTCACATGTTCAGAGTCCCCAGAAAAGAGGCTGGAGGTTCACGTCACTCACCCCAACCCACCAGCAGGTATGTGGGCCATAGGCGCCTTTCAGAAACCACTGAGGGCTCCAGCAGCGAGTGGAGGTAAAGACCTTCCACCAGGAGCCACGAGTAATTGGCACCCACGAAGTAGTGCAGGAGCAGCTGGGCTGAGCGGCAGGAGGCGGACATCTGTGGGGGACAGAGCACCTGAGGTGAGTCCCGGCCCTCCCAGGATCCGGACCCCAAGAGGGTGGAGAAGGGCCTCCCCGTGCACAGCCCCTCCCTCCTCCCTCCCCTCCGTCCCAAACCCGCGCTGACCCCCTCGGCGAGGTGGCCACAATGTCAGAACGTGGAGTGCTTCATGTAGGTTTAAAGCCCAGCTCCTCCTTGACACTTCAGACAGGTTCAGACAAACAAAAACAGGACTGTCATCAGCAGCTTCCCTAAAGGGTATGTTCTCTGCTTGCAGCTCAATTAAGTTAGAAATCAACAACCCGAAAATCTGCCTATGATTGAAAATGAGGAAATAAACTTCTAAAGAACTCATGAATCAAAGGAGACAGGATACTAGAAATTAGAACTCGTTTCTGAACTGAGTGAAAGGGAAACGCTGCATATCAAAATGTGTGCCGCGTAGCGAGTACCACACTCGGAAACGTATAGCCTTAAATGCATTCATCAGATAAGAAAAAAAAGCTGAAAATCAATTACTTCAAATATTAGGCCAATTAAACCCAAAGAAAGTACACAGAAAAAATAATAAAGATGAAAGTGGAAATTAAATAGAAGATAAAATAAAGAGAATCAACAATGCCAAAAGTTTGTTGTTGTTGTTTTAATCCAATAAAACGGAGATAATCCTGGGAAGGATGATCAAGGGGGGAGGGGAGAGAGAGAAGATACAAATAATCAATATTAGGAATGAAAAAAAGGAACTCCACGATAGATGTCATAGACCTTTCAAAGATCTTAAGAGGCTACGAACAATATTATGCCAATACATTTGAAATATTAGATGAGGCATACAAATTCCTAGACCAACACAAGTTACCTAAATCTAAATATTAGAGTCATAATTAGTTCATGATTAAAAGCCTTCCAGTAAAAATAAACTGAGGGCCCAGATGGCTTCACTGGTGTAATCTAGCAAACGTTTAATGAAGAAATAATAGCCATCTTAAATAAACTGCCAGAGACCAGAGAAAGAGGGAACAAGTCTGATTTAAGAGGTCAACATAAACTGTTTTAAGAGGCCAAAAACGTAACAAAGTCATTACAAGAAAAGAAAATTACTCACGAATGTAGATGAGAAATGCTAAACAAAGGAGAGTATTAGCAAAAGGAATCCAGCAATGTGGAAGGAAGAAGGATGTATCAGAACCTAGCTGGGTTTATTCCAGCAGCGAAAGGTGGTTTACCAGGTGACTGCATTCATTACTAACAGGATACAGGGAAAACCATGTCAACAGATGCAGAGTTCAATGCGGAAAAGCGTTGCTGCTTTAAAAAAATAACAATAATAAAAAAAGGTCGATCTGGTTTCTTTCTTTCTTTTATTTATAGATGAAGACACTTCCCACTCACGGTCATCGAGTAGCCCCACAGGAACTTTTCTGTTGCTGATTTACTTTCCCCTGCTCCATTCTCGGGGGCCTTGCGGGTTGTTTTTTTAAGTCAGGTGATGCGTGTCTAACCACAAAGCCTTTGACACCCCTTCATCTGCCTCCTCCCCTCTCCAGCCTCGCCTCCCTGCCCTCCGGTTCCCAGTGCGGACCCACCGGGTGGGGGGACACACCTCTGACACGTAGGACACCCACTGGTTCTCACTGTCGGGCCTCCTGGAGTACGAGCTGTGTAAGATGACGTCCTTCACCAGCACCGCCAGGGCTCTCAGGATGAAAGAGGCGAACAAGTTCATGTGGATGTAGTTGCGTGTGCAGTGGAGTTTTCTGTGCGAGGAGAAAACCGACAGGTGTGTGCCCGAAACACTGTATGTCCATCCCTGAAGGGCGGAGGTTCCCAGTGTAGGCTCCTGACTCTGCTGGCTGGGCTATGTCATCTTGCTTCTCTGTGACCCGTTTCCTCACCAGTACAACAAGGATAACAATAGCTAACACTATATGACATGGTCAACACGCCTCGTTACGTTCCAAGCCATTTATATGTGGGGATGTAGTGATGGGCATTTTTACTCCTTACGACCACTGGGGGAGATGGTGCTATTATTACCCTGATTTTACAGCTGAGGGGATTAAGGCAGAAAGGTTAAGTCACCTGTCCGAAGTCTCAGAGCAGTAAGTGGTAGAGCTGACATTCGAACCCAGAACCCCCAAAGCTAAAATACGGCGCTCTGAGGCTCTAGTGCCTATCAGAACAAGAGTGCTTACCTCCAAGGGCTGAATGGCTGAAAAGTGCTCACACAGTTGGGGCACACATGTGCCTAGGAGACGTCAGCTCCCCTTGCCTCTCCCTCGCCCCGAGCCTTGTCCTGAGACAGCGCCCTCAGCCCCCCGCCCCTGTGCACGCCCAGCCCTGCCTGAGTCAGCGCCATCACTCTTGGCATTTCGGAGAAAGATTGGAAGCAGACCCTTGTGTTTTACCCTTTATGCATCCTTCTCCCTAACGAGAGGAGGGACTGCTCAAGAGCAGGGACCGCTCCACCCAGCGCCTGCGCCAAACAGACACTTGGCTGACCCAGGTTCTGCTGACGTTACTTCCTGCAGGACCTGGCAGGTAGTTCCTGCCACTGGGTTCTGAGACCTTGGGAAGGTGGGTGGAGGAGTCACACAGAGCAGTGGCCACAGGCTCAGCAATTCTCCCCTTGTTTAAAAATGCTCTCCTGCGGGGTGGTTGGTCATAACTCTGCTCCAGGAAACACAGACCATCCTGAGATTAAGAGTCAGGTAGGGCCACACCCGGGGCTGGAAGAGCCCAGGTGGGGTGATGCTGTGGAACCAGCATCCAGATCTCCACGGTCCCACCCAGGTCCTGCATCCCTGCCGAGCGCTCATTCTGCCGCATTACGTGCTCGGTTACGTTCCTGAGAGGGCTCCCTCGGGGCTCTATAAATATCTCGCTTGGGTAGTTTCTAAAAACATGGTTTAATAAAATGCACGGAGGCTTTGGATTCTGAACGAGAGTATTAGGGAGTGAAGATGCTTAGCCTCTGGGCTGCCTGGTTGTGATTCTGGCTCCTTTGCTCACCAGCTGTGGGATCCTGGACAGTTTACTCCAACTCTCCATATTCCCGTTAACTCATTTGTAAAATGGAGGTAACAGCAATGCTGATCTCCTAGGATTAGAATTCATTCTAACTCTGGTTAGGATGAGGCTGAGATGACTGGATGTGTGCAACATGCTCAGAACAGCGCCTGGCCAGCCAGGAAACACAGCTAATTGGGGTCGGTGGGCTCTGGATTAAAATCCCATCTGTACCGCTCACCGATTTGCTTGGGGGAGGTCTCTTAACCTCTTCTGTAAAAGTAATGCCTCTGGCAGAGTTGTGGTGGGTGTGATTAGGAATTTGGAGCAGGGCCTGGCCCATGGGTTCTCTGATCCAAAAAAGACAAAAGCTGAGTTAGGAGTTCCAGATTCCAGTTCTCACTGTGCTTTGTACTGGGGTGACTCAGCGCCTCTCAGTGGATTTCTGATATCCCTCCCCCTCCCCCTGCAAAACGGGGTGGGTGGACTAGGGACTCTCTCAGATCCCTTTCCAGCCCTGATGGGCCATGACATCACCCGGCCCAGTCCCCTCCGGCCTTCTAGAGGTAGCCAATGAGCAAATTCCATGGTACACGCCTGATCACACGCGCACAGAGGGTCCACTCACCGAAGAAACAAGAGGAGAGTGAGAGCCAGGAGGAGGGAGACAATGGAGAGAGAGTACCCCACGGTGTACAACAGCTGCAAGGTCGACAGCAAGGCATGGTGTTCCACCTGAGCAGAGGAAGAGCAGACATGATCACCAGGCGAGACGGCTATGGTCTCCAACCCCAAGCTCCATGCCCAGGACCACCAAAGTTGTAGGCATGCACCCCAACCTTGTTGACACCCAAGTAAGATAGCTTAGACTGTTCTCTGGAACATATCAGGGGCCAAGGAGGCTTGATGAGTGAAGAGCCCACCTCAGGTCTCACCTTCATGGCTGGTCCCACAGCCTGGCATTGGTGCACCAGGACTCACAATATCATGGAAGCATTGTGCAAGGCAAGGGGGTGCCTTGGGAATGAGGACAGGTTCTTTGCCCCTGGGTGTGCTGTCCCTAGAGTATAGTGGTCTCTCTCTGTGTGTGGAAGATGGGGCCAAGCTTCCAAATGGATGTCTCCTTCTTAAAATAACTTTTCATAGAGTACCCCTTAGACAAAGACCAAATAAAACACTGGAATATTTTCTCTGAGTCCCTAATTGTGAACAGAGGATAATTTACTGGAAATTCTGTTTTATTAAGTGAGATCTTCCAATGGGATCTCCACCTTTTCATTCAATCCATCAGACATATCGCCATCAAGATACTGTGGGTTCTTCTACAAAATTTATTTACAAACAAAATCTTGATGGCGTTTCTAAGTAAATTTTGTTGACGATCCCACAGTAAATACTTATTACCTGTTAAATTGTCTTAAATTTCTCTGCATAACTCTTTTTTTTTTTTTTTATCCTCACCCGAGGACATTTTTTCTATTTTTTGTTCAGATAGAGTGTGGGAGGGAGAGAGAGAGAGAGAAACATCGACGTGAAAGGGACACATCGAGTGGTTGCCACCCACATGACCCAACCAGGGCTGGGGACAAACTGCAACTGAGGTACATGCCCTTAGCGGGAACCGAACCCGGGTCTCTCAGGACCGCAGGCCGAAGCTCCAACCGCTGAGCCAAACTGGCCAGGGCTCTGCATAACTCTTTTATCAATATTATTAAAGTAAAATTGATGTACAGTAAACTGCATGTTTAATGCATAAATCTTGATAAATTTGGACATGAATATATCTGTGATTTCATTACTACATTCGAGATAATGACCATTTTCATCACTTCCCCAAAGCTTCCTATGACCCTTTGTAATACCCCTCCTCTCACTACTTCCTGTCATCCTATGCTCAGGCAAACACTGGTCTACTTCTTGTCATTAGGGGTTAGTTTGCATTTTCTAAAATTTTATGTAAAATGGAATCTTAGGATATGTACTCTTTTTTTTTTTTTTTTTTTTTTTTTAAGGCTTATTTCCCTTGGGATAATTATTATGAGATTCATCCATGTAATAGCATGTATCAATAGTCCATTCCTTTTTTACTGCTGACTAGTATTCCACTGGGAATGTACCACAATCTATTTATCCACTCACCTGTTAATGAACATTTAGATCATTTTCAGAGTTTGGCTTTTACAAATAAAGTTACTATGAAAATTTCTGTACAAGTTTTTATATGGACACAGGTTTTCATTTCTTTCAGATAAATGTCTAGAGGTAGAATGGTGGAGTGTATGATGTATGTTTTAACTTCTTAAGAAACTGCCAAACTGCATTCTAGATAAGTTGTATCAATTTACATTCCCACCAGCAGTTTATGAGAGTTTCAGCTGCTCTAGATTCTGTTAACACTTCATGTAATCAGTCTTTTAAATTGTAGCCATTTTAATGGGTGTGTAGTAGTATCTTACTGTGGTTTTAATTTGCACTTCTCTAATAATTGATGATGTTGAGAATAATTTCATATGCTTATTGCCATCTGTATATCTTACTTGGTAAAGTGTCTGTTCAAATATTTGGTCATCTTTTATTTGAATTGTTCGTCTTAAGTTTGCATTGTAAATGTTCTTTCTATAGTCTAGATATAAATCTCTTGTCAGATATGTATTTTGCAAGTATTTTCTTCCATTCTGTGACTTGCCTTTTTATTTTTTTAACAGTGTCATAGAAGAGCAGCAGTTTTGTTTTGTTTTTTTATAAAGTCCAATTTATCAACTTTTTCTTTTATACTGTATTCTTTTCCTATCTTATTTTTAAAACCTTGACTTAACCCAAGGACCTTAAGATTTTTTATTATGTTTTCTCCTAGAAGTTTAATAGATTGGGCTTTTACATTTAGGTCTGTGATCTATATCTAGTAAATTTGCATTCGTGGTGTGAGACAAGGATAGAAGTTGGTTTTTTATATTTAATTACTCTGGCACCATTTGTTGCTAAGATTATTCTTTCCCCATTGAATTTCCTTGGCACTTTAGTAAAAAATCAATTGCCTTTATATGTGTGGGGTCTGTTTCTGGACTTTACGTTCTATTTCATTATTCTGTATATTTATCTTTATGCCAATACTGCACTGGCTTGATGACTAGAGTTTTATAGTAAGTCTCGAAATCAGTTAGTATTAGTCTTCCACCTTTGTTCTATCTCAAGTTTGTTTTAGCTACTCTAGGTCTTTCCACATAATTTTAGAATCAACTTGTCAATTTCTACAGAAATTCTGCTGGGATTTTGACTGGGATTGCATTGACACTATGGATTAACTTAAAGTCCATGAACATAATATATCCCTTCATTTAGTTAGATTTTCTTTAACTTCTTTCCACAAAGCTTTGTACGTAAGTCCTGCTCATCTTTTGTCAAATTCATTCATATGTGTTTCATATTTTTAATGCTGCTATAGATGATATTGTTTTCCTAGTTATAATTTTTAATTGCTCATTGTTGGTATATAAAAATACAGCTTTTTAAAAATATATTGATCAGTGTTCTGCAACCTTGCTAAGCTCACTTATTATCAGTAGTACTTTGTGTAAATTCCATGGAATTTTCTATAGATGACCATGTTGTCTGTGAATAACATTATTTGTTTTTTCCCAAACTCTGTGTTTTTTATTCGTCTTCCTTGTGTTATTGCTCTGGCTAGGACCTTCGGTACAACGTTGGATAGAAGTGGAAAGAGTAAACTTATTGCCTTGTTAAAGATCTTACGGGAAAGCATTTACGTTTTCACAAATTAATATGATGTCGGTTGCAATTTTTTACAGATGCCCTTTTATATTAATTTCCTGAGGCTGCTGTAACAAATTACACAAATTTGGTTGCTTAAAACAACATGATTAATTGTCTTACAGTTCTGGAGATCAGAAGTCCAAAATAAGTTTCACTGGGTTAAATCAAAGTATTGGCAGGTGAGCATTCCTTCTGAAGGCTACTACGGGTGGGAGACGCATTAATTCCCAGCACATCTGACCTGCCTTTCAGCAGGCAAAGTGGATCCCGAGAACCAGAAAACCAGCACACATGTGTGCACGCGCGCACACACACACACACGCATGTACTAGTGGTAAGAAGCTAGAAAGTTGCGTATTGAATCAGTTGGGACAAGGGGATATAGAGGGGTACCACCTGGGACAGTTGGTTTAATTGCACGCTATTCTTAAACAGTCTTCTACATTCAGGACTCGACAAAACCTGGCTACTTTCCTAGAGGGCTCAGAACACCTGATAGTCCTCAGGTCACTCTCAGCACCAAGAGGTGAATCTGAGGTCACTTAGACATCTTTATAAAAGGCTTCATAAGCAGTATGGAGTGTGTGCCCACCGGGAACATTGGCATTCTCAAACACCGCTGCAGGGAGGGCAAAAGAGTAGAACCCCTGTCTGACGAAACTACACGTGCATCGACATTTAATCCAGCAACCCCATTTCTAGGAACCTTCCAAAAGACAGACCTTCACAAATATGGGCCAACATACACACGCAAGGTTTCTCAAGGTGGCATCATTAGTCATAAAATAGTGGAAATAATCCAAATGGCAATAGGAGAGTGGTTGAATAAACTATAGTAAATATACAAGGTGGAGGGCCATGCAGCTGTAAAAGAAAAAGAGAGAGAGAGAGAGAGAGAGAGATGTTTCTAGAAACTGACATAATTTCCTGGACATGTTGAAGGGGAGAAAAGGCAGCTGCAGAATAGGGTATCTGGTATACTGCCTTTTGTGTAAGAAAGATGGGGAAGTCACATATTTATATATTTGCTAAGTTTTACACAAATTTACTACAATTTGATAAAAAGTTAAGGGAAAGGGACAAAGAGAGAAAGGATAAACTAGAAAATAAAAATGGTTATCTCTAGGGAGTAGGTAGAAACAGGGTTATAGAGGCAATTATGGAAGATTTCTCTGAGTGTACTTTTTTATATAGTTTTGCTTTCAAACCTTGCCAATACTTTATTTCTTTTAAAAAATAGAGACAGCCCTGGCCGGTTTGGCTCAGCGATTGGAGCGTCAGCCCACAGACCAGAAATTCCCAGGTCTGGTTCCCACTAAGGGCACGTGCCTCGGTTGCGGTTTGTCCCCAGTTGGGGTCATGTGGGTGGCGACCACTCAATGTCTCTCTCTCTCTCTCTCTTCTCCTCTCTCTCCCTCCCGTTCTCTCTGAGGATGGATGCAAGAATGCCCTCGAGTGAGGATAAAAAAAAAAAAATACACAGAAGAATGAAAAAGGCAAACCTTTAGTACTAATAGAAGCAAATGAATAAAATTGTATATACAATTAATAACATGACCACACATAGAAAATAATGATTTCAAATCATTATGAACATAGTACTCTGAACATGGCATATAGTCTAAGGACATAAAGAGCTTCAAAGAAATCTGAAATTTTACCAAATAGATTTATATATATATTTTTATCCTCACCCGAGGACATTTTTCCATTTTTTGTTCAGGTAGAGAGAGAGGAACAGAGAGAGAGAGAGAAACATCGACGTGAAAGGAACACATCGAGTGGCTGCCACCCGCACAACCGACCAGGGCCGGGGACAAACTGCAACCAGTTACGCGCCCTTAGCGGGAACCGAATCCGGGTCTCTCAGGACCGCAGGCCGATGCTCCAACCGCTGAGCCAAACCGGCCAGGGCTAGATTTACATTTTTAGTGGCAATTTTAATATTAAGGTTGAAACTATTT